TTTGACGCCAAAATGACAAAGGTGTGAGGTCACGTACTTCTGTATTCGGTGACCGGAAAATCATCACCAGTCAATTCGCTAATACACACCGCTTCATTAATGTTATCGCGTCGATTTAATGCAATGTCTGTATGGTCTTTATTTTTTTCAATAACACAATCATTAAAAATATACACGAACATTTATAAGGCATATTTTGTAAGAGATGATTTCACTAAAATCTTTTCCATTCTTATCTCCTAATAAAAAGAAATGATCTATTTTTCACAAACTTGATTTCCCATTATCTTGATTGTATCTAAACCCATTTACCTAGCATTCTGTAAGCTAAGAAATTATTTTGTCGGATGTCATTGCATTCCTATTAATTGCAACATTATCAACATCGAGTCAAATATAGAAGCGAGAAGGATTGAAATATGTGTGCAATTTCTTCGTTAGCCCGCATTTTTTAGATGTTAGATCTGTGTATACATAAAACATTTTTTTTTTTTTTTGGTTTATATTTTAACTCGGTTTTCATCTCTCGATAAAACATAGTTTTTCATATACGACTGTAAATCAGAAGGCAAAGAATATGCAGTTTATGTTATATTTCGTCCATCGATCTAGTTTCTTCGATGACTAGATAGCTTTTTTTTAGAATCAGTTTTTCTTATTTTTATTGAACGAAAAAAAGAAATAAATTTCTTCTACCTCTGCTCTGTTTTGTTAAATGTCTACTGAATACTCTCGAAAAATCCAGACGATCATTTTAATGATAGCTTGAAATATTTCACTTGCCATTTTGAAGCTTTTATTTTTCAAGATTTTTTATTCCTTTATTCTTTGTCTGTGTTTATATGGAAAAAAAAACTGGAGCCATTAGAAATTGATATGGTATTCTGAGTAAGTATGAATTTTCTAAACTCTTCATTATTTTTAGTTCGAACAAAATTCTGACAGATCACAGACAGGATTATTTATTTATATCGGCGGTTAACGAGAAATATAATGTGACAACAGTCTATTTAGTATTTACTTTAATCATGTCACCTCAGGCAAGGGGATAATGTCACTAAGACGATAGGAAATTACTGAGAGTGAAAGAAAATGATAAATTTGTGGTATAAAAAGAACAATAGATGAATATAATTCAGAAAAGTAGAAGATGGCGATTGATGTTGCATTTTAATTTTTGAAGAGTGTAGATGGCAGTAGCTTTTTGTAGCGTGTTTGGTTGATGAGCTTACTTTTGTGTATTTTAGGCAGTCCATTAAAATTGCTTGTTTTATATCTAACGTTTGTAAGGTAGGCATGTTTCTTAGAAGTAAGACAGGTTCGGTGTGGGTGTATTAAATTGATGAGTTTTTTATCACTATATGAGGTTGGTATTATCTGGTTTCTTCATAGAAGATATCGTCCTGTAGAATATTTTGTGTGATTTGTATTCATAATAACAACTTCGCCTACTTTGTCTGTTTCTTTTATAACAATTTCTGTTCAATTTTTGTTCATTTAGTTGGTTCCATTGTTGTCTGGTGAAGTTGAACTTTGTAGCATTTCCAGTTTGCCTTTTGGGGGTTGATAATCTTTCTTGTTTTTTTTTTTTTTTCACTTTTGATTTATCATTGTTTTCTTCTTCTGCTAGCTTGAGTCTTCTACAGAATTCCGAAACATCATCTTTCATTTTTTTCTACAATCGGTTTTAGGGGTCTTGATGTGAATTTTAGCCTTTACATAGGACGTCAGTTTGTGTGGGTGTTAAGGATTTTTATGAAAGATTGATTACTTTCGCTTTTCATGGTTATGGGCCATCTTGTTTCCGGTTATTATTCTGGGATTCGTCTAGATTGTTTCTAAAGTCGGTATTTGTATTTATTGAGACAAAAAACAGTCAGAAAGAAAATATATATAACAAACAGAGCAACAAATAGAAACTACAAAATTGGAACAAACAGACTACAAATGAGGAAAGACAGAAATAACCTCAAACTGAACCAAAGAAACAAATACCAAGTGACAAAACAACAGATACAATACAATATTTTTGTATTGTTTCTGTTGTTCTGTCTTTGCTGCTTGTTTGTTTTGCTTTGGTTCAGTTTGAGGTTATTTCTGTCTTTCCTCATTTGTCGTCTGTTGATTCCGATTTTGTATTTTCGTTCTGGTTGTTTTTTTTCTGTGGTGGTATTGATTTTATCCAGAATTCCTATATATATATATATATATATATATATATATATATATATATATATATATATATATATATATATATATATATCAATATTTGATTGTGTTATCTCCCTTTGTTGGTTTATCTATGTGCTGGAATGATGGTGGTTGCATTAAAAGACTTCTGATTTGCCTTTTGTCAAACTTTTAGGCTGAATTTTGTCTATTTTTGTCTGTGATTTCCTCTTATGACTTAAAAATTGGTGTAACGTGGTATCGGCGTGTTTTTTCATGTGGTTCTTTTTTTATTTTCTTAAAGAAATTTTCTTCGCTGTATTCTATTTTAAATTGTTCTTCATTTGAGATCCAGTTTTCGTTTTTCTCCCAACACTGGAGAGCATTACATTGGCTAAACGGGTCAGTAACTCCGGCAAAGGATGATAGTTTATCGCCAACAAATTAGGGATCCGCACACGAGAAAAATATCTTTTAACCTATTATATAGAGGAATGGGGTGGGGAGAAAATCTGACATATTTTAGTGCCTTCCCATTCTACCAGTGAGACTACAAAACCATTGAACGAAGGCCGATTAATAAAAAAAAAACATTTTTCCTCAACAAGTTCAAATCAATACTTAATTCTTTGCATAAATAAATTCTACAAAAGTTTATTTACCATAAGTGTCATATATAGCCAATTACGTCCATTACGTGATTTTTTTATTTTTTATTTTTTTATTTGTTCAAAACATAAGCGTCAACACGTGGAGATACAAACAGTTAAAAACTTTTTGGAAAGCTAAGCGAAACAGGTTAAAATAAAAAAGTAAAATAACAAATTATTTTTCTGGAAAAAAAAAAAACACCCAAGATCCAATTGTAAGTAGCAAAGTTTTAATTTTAATATTTCTCTGTCAAAATATATTATTAATAAATATAAATATTAGGTACTTTTCCCCAATTCTTATTTTAGTATATGCAACAAGTTTTTGTACAGTATCTTTTTAACAATTTCATTTTTTACACACACACACACACACACACACACACACACACACATATATATATATATATATATATATATATATATATATATATATATATATATATATTCAGCGACTCATCTGGGGCTTTTTTCAGTAATAAAACACTCTGCCACGCGGATTCGTAATCTGTAAAACCATGCTTGAATTCCCAACATTTGTATGCAGAAGGCTCAAAAACACATCAACCTAAAAGTCGTGAGAAAATAAAATTAAAAAAATGATGAGGATAACAAGCTTAAACATTGGTGAATTTCATATCAAAATTGGAGTTTGAAAATAGAAATTTTGTGTGCAAACAAATCTTTCCAGGGGGCTTTTTTTTTTCAAAACTGAATCCAATGATACTAACTGGCCATAAATGAGTATACGCTATTGAATCATCTTGAGCTACATGATGTTTTCCTGTAGTCTAGGGCATGATTTCAAAGTATCGATGGACTACAGAATTTCTTTTCCATGGAAATGACGCTAGCATTGATATTTATAAATGAAAACATCTCTGCAAAAACGTTTGAAGATAATTTTACTAGCTCGGCGCTTCCTATCCTATTTTGCCCAATGCACTCTTTTCCCCTTTAAGCCACCCCCTACCCGCCTTTCTACGATTGTCCGACTCAAAAGGTGCATTCCAAATAATATATTATTGACAATCTTCATTTTTTTTCGTTTACATTTTCATGGATTATTTTTGGAGTGGCAAAAACACAAGAGCTAGCGGAAAGAAAACCCATCCTGACCTCTCAGTTGCGCTGAGCGATACACATGGCGGGGTGCATCACCTTGGAGAGTGCGAAAGTTAACATTTTGAGTCTATGTCACATAGGGCATAAATGAATGGAATCGTCCGTTTATGTAAATAACCGGAATTAGCATAAAGTCTTAGCCGCGTGCTAAGCTCTTAGTGCGTGTAGACCCTCTCTGCCCGAAGGTAAGACAGGTCTACCAAGACGAGGCTATGCCAAAGAGCAGAGTTTCATCTGGGGAGGTAGACAAACCTGATCTCTACGGGTTTATTGAGTCTACGAGGAATTTTTGCCAAGGCCACCGGGCTCGGGAAAACCCACGTTAAACCGGCCTTGTGCCACATCCCTCTCTATGGGAAGATCGGGTAAATACCGAGTTAGCATTAGGTTAATTGCTAAATGTAGTAAACCTTCTAATTCATTACTTAACTACGAGTTTGTCTTCCTTATTATTTCTCTCTGTTATCTGGAAAACACGAGATACAACAGTCTACCTCTCCGGAGCCCCAATTCTTTCACTCTGAAAATCCTCCCTAGGTGGGGAATTCTCCACTGCTTGAGAACCCGTGTACTCTATCATATATGGTGTAGCTGACAGACTGGATTTAAATTTGAATTGCGTTAAAACTGGTATATTTCAGAAATAAATTTAGTCTAGAAAAGGTTCAAGATTCGGATTAAATCTATAAGATTTGTTCAAAGTTGTAAAACTTTTATTTTCACAATTACTGTTTAACGTTATTCATCAAAGCTTTTTATCCAATTGAAAAATTTGTGGCATTTCAAACATTGAAAAAAAAGCAGTCATTAACATTAGCAAAATTGTGTTTAACTTAATGAAAATTCTACGTGGGATTTAAAAACTAATTAACACGGTTTCTTAGAATCGTCTTTTAAATCATTTTGTCAATGAATGATTCAGATCGAGAAGGAACTTATCCGATTTACCATCGAAAATTGAAAGCACAAATTTGTTTAGTAAATTAAGTGTTAACTACATTTATTTACAATGACTTCATGTCCGAATATAAAGCTTTTAAAACCTGTTGGTGAATTCTACAAGATATAAATGGTTGAGAAAACCAGAGAGAAGCGAGAGAGGGAGAATGAATGATTAGGGAGAGTAAAAAGAAGTGGTGAGAAAAAGAGGACAAGGGAGAGGAGAGTGAGAAAGAAAGAAGACAGAAGGAAGAAGAAGATAGAGAAAGAAGGGAAATGAGAGTGGGAAAGAAGGGGAGAGAAGGAGAAAGAAAGAAAGAAAGAAAGAAAGAAAGAAAGAAAGAAAGAAAGAAAGAAAGAAATATGGAGTATGAAGGGGAGAAGAGTGAGAAGAGAGAGAGAAGGAAAGATTAAGAAGAGTGAAAAAAAAGGGTGGAGAAAAAGTAGAGATGAGAGAAGGAGAAAGAAAGTGAGAGAAAGACGAAGGGGGGGTAGAAGGATGAAGAAAGAAGGAAGTAAAGGAGAAAGGGGAGTGAGAAAGGAGTCAAAAGAGAGTGGTAAAGAAGGCAGAGAATGAAGAATAAGAGAAAGAGAAAGAATGAGAGATGTCGAAAGAGGGTGAAGGAGAGTAAGAGAAAAAAAAGAAAGAAACTAAGAAAGAAGAGAAGGAAAGGTGGGGAAAATCGAAAATTAGAAAAACAGGTTAAAAGAAAGTAAGAGACTGGGGGAAAGGATGAAAGAAAGTAAGAAAGATGAAGAAAAGACGGAGAAAAAAGCGGAAGTAAAATGGAAAATAAGAGGTGGAATTTGAGAAAGAGGAAGGACAATGAGAAATGAAAGAACGAACAGCGACAAAATAAAGCAAGAAAGAAAAACAGTGAGTCGTACATGCATTGAACTTGTGGCTGTTTTCTCAGCGTAGCCTAGATGTGGCACAAGGCCGAATATATGGAACAGCCAGTGAGAATCGAACTCATAATTCAACCGAGACAAGCTTCCCAACATTACTCCACGTCGAAGTGGCCCATGCATTGAACAAGTGAACCACTTGTTTTTAATTTTTTTCACTACGAGAAATGATTTCAAAACCACGCATAGAAAATCATGAAAGCTTTCGTTTCATCTGAACAAAATTTCGGAACAAATAAGCGTCAATTCTTTTAGGCATATATATATATCTTACTTATTATAAAACGCAGATTGTGTGTGTGTGTGTGTGTGTGTGTGTGTGTGTGTGTGTGTGTGTGTGTCTGTAACGTTTATATATTGGATCGAATTTCCTACATTTTTTAGACGATTTCAACAAAACTTCACAGGACTACATAAAATTACCTTGTGGTGGTTCTAACGGCGCCGAAAATGGGAAAAACGTAATTGTTTTTTTAACAAAATCAATTTGAAAACACGATTAAGACACATCGTGAGAATGGAAGGGGGACAACTCACCCACGAAAATGTAAACAAAAGAGCATAGTATAATGAAAAAAAGCCGAACTTGACGAAAACAAAATTTTATCGTCTAATGTTCATATTATTGTTAAAGAGGAAAGATCAAAGTATTTTTGGAGTATTTTTTTTTACATTTTTTAATCGTTCCTAGCACGTCTGAAATTTTCGTTAAAAATATTTTTTTTTTTTTTGGTCATAAAAAAGGACAGATAATCAATCATTTTCAATCATTTTTTTCGATTTGATAAAAAGATTAAAATCTGACTTTGATATTCTTTTAAAAATCAATTATCATTTTTTCAAAACTGATTTTAATAAAAACAGAAATTATACTGTTTATTTAAAATATTTTGAACCAAGCTTAACTTAGCTTCTGCGCCGAAAAAATGTAATTTGAAAATAAAACAAAGCAGGTCATAATCTTTCGCGTCGCTTGATGATTGACGAAAGGCACATTCATGACATTTAGATAACTTACAGGAGGATAATCCTTTCTACGGATGGAAGGAAGTGAAATTATTTAAGTGAACAAATTATTTACCTCGTTACTTTTAAGGAAAACTTTCAGCGCTCTAATTTATTTATTTTTTTTTTTTGTACTTAGCTTTCATTTTTACGTTTACGATGCTTTATGGAAAATATAAAGAAATTAAAAAATAAGACTGTTAATAGTGAGATTAAATTTCATAAGAAAAAGGTATCTAATTAATTTAGGTACCTTTCTTATGAAATTTTATCAAAGAAATGTACATAAAATACTATAATTTTATGTACATTTATTACATTTTACTGTGTTATTTGTATTTCCATTCATTTTATTATTAATTTTGATATTTCATTTATGGAAAAATGTCATAACTGAGATTAATATAAAAATAAGATCATATAAATTAAAGTTTAGCAGTAGTTAAATTTCATAAGATGATACTGTTACTTGTAGGTACCCTTCTCAGTTGAAATTCAAAACTCAAATTAACTTCTCCATACGTGTTTCGCAAAAGTAAAAGGGCTTAACAGCGGAGAACAATGCTGAACTCAAAAATAATGCAACTAAATTGTATTCTGGTTGGTCTTCCGTACTTGATAATTACTGTCCGACTATAAACACAAAAATTACATTTCTTAATTACCATGGCTAATCTGATTGGTCCAAATTATACAATTTTTAGACAATGACAATCTCACACGGACATTTTGAAAGGTTGATGTTGCTTTTTTAACTAATGTTAAAATATTTTTAAAAATTCAATTTAAAAAATTTTTAAGTCTTTTTAAAATTAAAGAAATAAGAAATAATTGTATTAAAAATTCAATTTTCATTGAAAAAAATTTTGCTTTCAGAAAATATTGTCTACATTCAAAAAAACAAATTAAAACAAAAAAAGCATTTGAAACTAAATAATATATTTGTTTTATTGAGTTTTGTATGTTACAATTCACAGCTGATTTTCAGGTACGTTGGCCAAATAAAAAAAAAACATGATTTGCATTCTTCAAATCCTTGTGCTTTTAACTATTGTAATCACTAAAACCGATGGTCTCGAATTTCTAGAGTTTTTTCATAAAATTAGTTATGGGGTGATAATAAATATAAAAAAAAAATATTTCTGCCATGACTTTAATAAAAAAAAAAAATATATTTATAATAATTTCGATCATCTGTGAATAGTTTCTGAAAGTTTTCATTAACATCTGACAATTATTTTTATTTTTGCAAGATTTTCCAAATTAATGTGTAAATACAAAAAAAACGCGCTAAAAATTATCTATGTTATTTACTACCCCTTGTTGCGACAGCGAGAAACAAGGATTTTTAAATCAAAATTTAGAATATTCTAAAAGATGGAAAATTTTAAAAATAATTAAAAATATTTTAGTCTATCCTCTTCATAAAAACATAAGCATTTTGACGATAAAATTTTGTTTTCATAAACTTTGGCATCTTTTTCATCAGACTATGCTCTATGTTTTAGCGATTCCGTGGAGTGACTTAGGTTAAAAAACCCAGGTTGTTTGTGTGTGTGTTCCTTTATATATGGGATCGGATTTCTTACATTTTTCAGCCGATAAAACAAACATCCACTTTTTTTTGGCAGGTAGTGTTTCTTATTGTCTTGCACACTTTTTCCTTTATTTATACATTCAGAATGCTTTAAAAATTCCATTTACAAGACAATTGTTTATAATAAAATTCTAATTCTATTCAATCGGGGGACTCATCATAACGATTGAAAACAATGTTTTTGTTTGAGTTTGGGTTTGACCAATTCGTAAAAAAAAAAAAAACTAAGACATGCGTGTCCGTCAGCCTAAACAGTAATCTAACGAGCTCTACTCATTGTACGAATCGAAAAATCGGATAATTCTTTATCTTTAGGGAAAGATAATTCCACGTACTTTAGGGCCGTTTTTACAATTCCCTTTGCAATTTGTTACAAGGCAGATCAATAAGGCATTGATTCTATTTGAAATTAATTCAATATTCAAAAGAAAGTATTAAGAAATAATTTAAAAATGCCGACGTAAGAAATCTGATAGACAAAAAACAACAATATTTCGAAGATGATAATTATTAAGGAAAGAACACAGTACTTATAATAAATTAATAAACCCAAATAAAGTTAATATTTTTGTATTAGAAACAATGAGTGGAAAATATATTCAAATCAGAATTCTAATTATGAATCACCACAAGCAAAATATGCAATTTTTTTACTGTATTCAATAAGTAAAAATCATAAATTGTAAAAGATTACAGAGAAAGGCTACCTACATTTTTTTCAACCGATTTCAACAAAACTTCACTCTTTTTTGGCAGGTAGTGTTTTTCTTATTGTCTTGCACACTTTTTTCTTTATTTTTACATTCAGAATGCTTTAAAATTCCATTTACAAGACAATTGTTTATAATAAAATTCTATTCAATCGATAGACTCATAACGATTGAAAACAATGTTTTGTTTGAGTTTGGGTTTGGCCAATTCGTAAAAAAAAAAAAAAAACTAATTAAGACATGCGTGTCTCAACCTTAAACAATAATCTTTGTCAATTTTATTTTTCAGTCTTTATGATGGTCGATACTTGATCTATCTGTTACTGTTACATCCCCGGGCAACGCCGGGCTCTTTTCTAGTATTATATATACTCGCGTATCATGTGACCTTTGAAGATCTAATTTTGAAGCTAATTTGACTACAGAAATAGATATATAGTTTGGTCCCCTTAATTATCCATGCCAGAAGTATATTAAGTTAATTTTATATCTCGTGTCGGAAAGCGTAAAATTGGACTTCATTAAAATTAGGTCTTCAAAGGTCTCATGATAAGACGTTAGATAAAGTTTCTATTGAACATAAAAAGTGGGGACTGGTTTCCCTATTGTTAAAACGTAATAAACAGGAAAAAAAATTCCTACATAATAATTGGAGACAATTAGTTTCTATTTGGGTCATCTGGGGGGTCGCTTGTCTTTTATTACTATTTAATAAACTGATCCTCAATAGTTAATACATATTATTATAATTGGAATCATTTTGTTTATACTTGTGTAACGGGCGATGTTTTATTTTAAATTTTTTCTTTTTTTTTTCCCGTAGTCGGGCCAACAGTACAGACGCTAATTTTTTATCTCAGAAAAATTAATCTCATGTCGTCAAAGGCAAATTTAGTGTCGGTGACAAAACTAATCCTGGCCTTGTTTATTGAAATGGACCTCCAATCCTTTGTTAATTGGGGCAAGAATTGGCTGGTCAATTTTAATGCCTTAAAAAAAAACTAAACTGCTCTCTATTAATCACCATAAAATACTTCCCCCCCCATTGGAATGTCTGATAGTTAACTTCTTGAGAAAATGTATCCCTGCATTTTTGCTCGGTCTCACGTTGACAAGAGCCTGAGAAAGGAAATACATTGAGTCAATTTGTTCTTCCACCGTAAGGAAAGTTTAATCGATTTATTGTGCCGCAGTTTTATCAAAATTTTTTCCCCGGAATCGATAATTCAAATATACAAATATTTTAGACTGTGCATGGAGATTGTTGTTTGGTCTGGTGCACCTTCTGTTTACCTCGTGTTCTTGACAAGATCCAGAGGCGGATACGTAATATAATTGGATGATCTGGCATCTCGTCTACAGTTTATTCTCACAGACGCGCCGTCGAATATAACTTTTCTACAAAACTTTCATGATAATTGCTCCGAAAAACTGCTTTCACTGGTTCCCCAGAAAAACTCCATGAATTCAAGCGCCCTACAGGCTGGCATCCCACTCCACACCCTTACACTGTAGAAACTTTTAAATCTATATATCTCTTATATATATATATATATATATATATATTCGCCTGTAATTGACCTTAAAATACTTTTTCCCTGAGAGCTATAATCTCCAACTATTTAAATGAATGTCAATCGACATCTCCAATTTTGATCTAATTAAATTA